CCCCAAAACCCCAAAACCCCAAAACCCCACAATGTGCAAAATTAAATGAAACTTTCTGATAAATTCTTATATTCTATATAATAGGCTATATCCCTTCTTATAAGAGGACATGAACCTCGGATGGTTCGTATTCAGCGTTATCTCAGTTCCGATTCTTTTATTTCTGAATTCTTCACAGTACTGCAAAATTTCAGCATAGATCTTCTCAGACTTTCTATCCTCTTTCTTCCCTCTTGAATGCGAATCTATCCTTGGAACCTTAATTTGCTCCTGAGTAAGCAGTCTGACTGTCTTCACAGCATAATTATTCCTTAAAGAGTACAAAATCTGTTGAACATGCTTAACATGCACTAGATTCAACTCAATATCCCTAATACCGCTTGCTGCATCGATCTTAGTCTCAAAGAGCCTGCATAACTTAGCTACCACTTCATCTTCCCACACAAGGCCTTCTGACCTAAGTTCTCTCAAATGTTTCTTCTTCAGTCTCTCTAGTAGGACACAGAAGGCTTTTGACCCAGTGTCTTTCCTATATTCTACCACATTAGAAGCCTGGCTTGGCCAAGTAGAGGTGAAAGCGACAGGACTTTAGAAGAGAAACCGAGATTTAGAGTAAGTGGTGGGATTAGGGAAGAAGGGTCAAATGAAGCTTTGAAATGCTTTAAGGCGGAGAGATTATGAGGGAAGATTGCGAATAGGGATTTTAAGGGTTGTCACAGAACTTACCAGCAACCAGAATTTCTTCAGTCCCTTCCTGCTGAGTCGCTACTAGATATGTGTGGATATTGATACTTAGCAGAGCTTGCTCAGGAAGAGAGTCTAGGATTTGGATGCTGTGGGAGTAGTCGATGGGGCGGGCTGGGCTAGTGGCTGGGCAGGATGTAGAGATGGGCTATGTAAGGGGTTATTGGGGGCATTTGGAGGGAGATTAGGTGGAGAAGAGGGTTTTGGGTAAAGAGGGGGTACCTTTGTGGCGGAATTATGGGGTAAGCCAGCTGGAGGCTCGATGAAGATGTTGAGAGTGTAGTAAGGTCTGGATTCGGCAAGGTAGTTTTTGAAATAAGTTAATGGGAATGATTTGTACCCTCTCTGGCTGAGATAGTAAGGGTGAGAAGTGTAAGGAGAGTTCTCAAAAAGTTTCACTGTGCTTGGTGGTTGAATTAGAGGTGATTTTATGGGGATTCTGAAACAAATTGGAGAGTTTATCTATTGGTTAGACGATAATTTACGTCAAGAATGATCTCAAACTTATTTAAAGACTGATAGCTTATCTTTGTATAGAGACTTCTTGTCTATATCTATTCAGATTTGTACATCTCTGAAGGCAATAAAATCTGGATCTTCTCGAAGATCTATTTTTAAGTAAACAGCAGAGTTTTTCTTCAAAGGATCTTTGCTTCTCTTTCTTTGTCTTCCTAAAATTTTAGACTCTTCTAGCCATCAGAATTTATCAGATGATATTTTTAACTTAAAATCCTTGACAAAATATACATGCATTTGGCCTGTATCCGGGTCACAATAGATTATTTCTGCGTCACCAACCTTCAGATCAACCCTTAGTTCCTCATCTTTCGGCTTATTAAAAAACTCAAAATGCTTAATTTCTCATAAATTCCTCAATCTTCCCCAATCACCACTATACCAATCCAATTAGACATCTCCCCCTCCTAAAGCCCATCCTAACCCCTCTCACTGCCAAAGGCCCTCTCCCATTCCACTTCTTCCCCCCAAAACGCCCTTAAAAGCCCCTTATCTTACCTTCCTGCACTAATTTCTCCAATCCTAGGCTGACCTCTTGAAACTGGTCGCTCAGCTTCTTCCTGACTGCTGAATCCTTGAGAGACCAGGTTCTTGAACATCGAGCTTCTGTTGAACTCTACGATATCTACATTTGGGGTTGACTTTAGTAGAGAGCCTATTGCGACTATGTACTTTAAGTGCTCAGGATCTTTTAGAGCAGGGTCTTCCCTCCCGATGTAGACCTGGAGTCTCTTGCATAACTTGTGTGTGAATTTTAAATTTGAACTATGGAAATTTTAAAATTAGGGGGAATTTTGGTACTTGTGACGTCATTTTTTGGGATTTTGAGGGTTTAAGAGGAGTTTTTAGGTGAAAATGGAGAAATTTTGAGGGATTTGGAGGGCTAAGAGGGGCTAAACTAAAGGAGCACTCTAAATTGAGTATTTTGGGAATAAATGCTTAGTGTTAAGTATTTAGTATCAGATTTAGACCCTCCCTACTAAGATTACATCTTGAGTTTAGCATTTATTCAGAGTAAGTATCCATTGTTGAAATTTTGTGAGATTTCAGTATTTAAAAGAAGAAATTAATAAAAATAAATTTACCTTGGCAAATTTCTTTCGATTTCTAGTAAAGCTTCAGCATCAACAAGAATTTGCTCATAATTGTTCTCGAGAACCTTCCTCAAATTCTTTACAAGAGGAGGATATTTATCTTCGGGTTCGTTAGAGTCAACTCACAGATTGATCTCTTTTAGAGAGTCGACTGTGTGTGCTAAACTATACGAATCAATCAACATTTTTCAAGAAAGCCAAGATGACTAAGAGAGGAATCATTCTTACTTCAGTCCCAACATTGGCTCATCAATGTATTTAGCATGATCAATGCAATAGTGTTGGAGGAGACTATGACATGACTCATAGTCGAAGACAATAGACTTTTTATCAAACCCCTTTTTCATGTAAATTTCTAAGAATTTGTTGCATAGTTTCAGTGAGCGAGGAGTGACTTTAATAGTAACCAGCTCGAACTGATCCTTTAGTCATATATCCATTTGGTCTATCAAAGCTATGGCTGCCTTAAAGGATGGGATAGTTCCAAGGTTTAGCTTTAAACTAAAATAATACTTGGAAGTCAATAGTTTATTTACATGGCTCATTGTCAAGGTCTGATGAAGATCCTTGACTAAGGTTCATTCCTCATAATTCATAATCACCCTCAAAATTGGCTCGAGGTTTTTAATCCAGACTTCTCTTGAAGTCTTATCAAGCTGGAGGAACAACTCAGCTCATTCATGAACATAGCCATAGTAAGGAATGAGGACACTGAGCAAGGAGATTTTATGAGGAATCCGAATTATGCTCCCAGTGTTCGTCTCCATTTCTTATTAATTCTGATAGCTTCGATATATTTAATCCAAATTGGGGTTTTGGGGTTTTGGGGTTTTGGGGTTTTGGGG